ATTGTAAATAGTGCTGCAATGAACAATGGGGTGCATGTGTCTTTTTTAATTATGGCTTTCTCTGGGTATATGCCCCATAGTGGGATTGCTGAGTCATATGGTAGTTCTATTTTTAGTTTTTTAAGGACTCTCCATACTATTCTCCACAGTGGCTATATCAATTTACATTCCCACCAACAATAAATGAGGGTTCCCTTTTCTCCACATCCTCTCCAGCATTTATTGTACGCAGATTTTTTTGATGATGGCCATTCTGACTGGTGTGTGGTGATACCTCATTGTAGTTTTGATTTGCATTTCTCTAATAATTAGGGATGTTTAGCATCTTTTCATGTGTTTGTTGGCCATCTGTATGTCTTCTTGGGAGAAATGTCTACTTAGGTCTTCTGTCCATTTTTGGATTGGGCTGTTTGTGTTTTTGATATTGAGCTTCATGAACTGTTTGTGTATTTTGGAGATTAATCCTTTGTCAGCTGCTTCATTTGCAAATATTTTCTCCCATTCTGAGGGCTATCTTTTCATCTTGTTTATGGTTTCCTTTGCTGTGCAAAAGCTTTTAAGTTTAATTAGGTCCCATTTGTTTATTTTTGTTTTTATTCTCATTACTCTAAGAGGTGGGGCAAAAGAAATCTTGCTGAGATTTATTTCAAAGAGTGTTCTGCCTATGTTTTTCTCTTAAGAGATTTATAGTATCTGGCCTTACATTTAGGTCTTTAATCCATTTTGAGTTTATTTTTTGTGTATGGTGTTAAGGAGTGTTCTAATATCACTCTTTTATATGTAGTTGTCCAGTTTTCCCAGCACCACTTACTGAAGAGGCTTTGCTCTTCAGTATCTTTGCTCCATTGTATATTCTGGCCTCCTCTGTCATAGTTTAAGTAACCATAGGTGCATGGGTTTATCTCTGGGCTTTCTATCCTGTTTCATTGACCTATATTTCTGTTTTTGTGCCAGTACCATACTGTCTTGACTACTACAGCTTTGTAGTATAGTCAGGGAGGTCAGGGAGCCTGATTCCTCCAGGTCTATTTTTGTTTCTCAAGATTACTTTTGCTATTCCATACAAATTGTAAAATTTTTTGTTCTAGTTCTGTGAAAAATGCCATTGGTAATTTGATAGGGATTGCATTAAATCTGTAGATTGTTTTGGGTAGTATAGTCATTTTCACAATATTGACTCTTCCAGTCCAAGAACATGGTGTACCTCTCCATGTGTTTGTGTCATCTTTGATTTTTTTTCATCTGTATCTTGTAGTTTTCTGCGTACAGGCCTTTTGCCTCCTTAGGTAGGTTTATCCCTAGGTATTTTATTCTTTTTGTTGCAGTGGTAAATGGGAGTGTTTCCTTAATTTCTCTTTCAGATTTTTCATCATCAGTGTATAGGAATGCAAGAGATTTCTGTGTATTAATTTTGTATCATGTGACTTTACTTAATTCATTGATTAGTTCTAGTAGTTTTCTGCTGGCATCTTTAGGATTTTTTATGTATAGTATCATGTCATCTGCAAACAGTGACAGTTTTACTTCTTTGCCAATTTGGATTATTTTTATTTCTTTTTCTTCTCTGATTGCCGTGCTAGGACTTCCAAAACTATGTTGAATAATAGTGGCAAGAGTGGGCACCCAGGAGTATATGTCATCCTTTTTACATATTGCTAGATTTTACTTGGTAAAATTCCTGCCTCTGTTTGTGTGATTGAATTGTATTCCTTTTTCTTGTTTTTGTCAAGTTTTTATGTAAGTGTAATGCTAGCCACATTAAATGAGTTTTGAAGTATTCCATCCCCTTCTTATTTCTGAAAGAGTTAGTATAGAATTGGTACTATTCCTTCCTTAAATATTTGGGAGAATTCAATAGTAAAAGTATCTGGTCCTGAAGTTTTCTTGTAAGAAGTGTGTGATGTGTGTGTGAGTTTAAGTATTAAAATTACTAAGATGAATACAGAGATAGTCATTATCTTTTTCTTCTTTTGTGAGCTTTGAAGTTGGTGTCTTTCAAGGAAAATGTCCATTTCATTTATGTTTATTGCATAAAGATGTTCTTAATACCCCTATCCTTTTAATACCTGTAGACTTGGTAGTGATGACATCTCTTTAATTCCTGATATGGGGAATTTGTGTCTTCTCTCTTTTTTTCTTGATCAGTCTGGCTAAAGGGTTTATCAGTATACTGATCTTTCCAAAGAATCAACTTTTGGTTTCATTTATTTTCTCTATTCTTCTTTTGTTTCATTTCATTTCATTTATTTCTACTCTTTATTATTTCCTTCATTCACTTGCTTTCATTTTATTTCACTTTTTTTTAGTTTCTTTAGAAGTTTAAATTATTGAATTGAGCTCTTTCCTCTTCTCTAATGTGAGCAGTTAATGTTATAAACTTTGTGTTTTTATTTTCATTTAATTCAATATATTTTCTAATTTTCCTAGTGATTTTGTCTTTAATCCATGGGTTAGTTACAAGTATGTCACTTAATTTCCAAATACTTAAGAGATTTTTTTCAGATATCATTCTGTTATTTATATCTAGGTTAACTCCATTGTCATCAGACAATATCCTTTGTATGATTTTTTTTAAGTTGATGAAATTTATTTCATGGATCAAAATATGGTCTTTCTTAGTGAATGTTCTATGTGTCAAGAGTATATTCTGATATTGCTGGGTTGAGTCACCTATAAATGTCAGTTAGGTCAAGTTGGTAGTGCTGTTCAAGTCTTGTCATCTACAGTAATTTTCTGTCTACTTGTTCCACCAATTACAGAGACAGGAGTGCTGAGATCTCTGTAATTACTGACTTGAATATTTCCTCTATAAGTGATAGTATTTTTCTCTTTCTGTATATTGAAGCTCTGTTACTTGATATATATATATATATATATTTAATATTTTGTTTTCTTGATAAAATTGACCTCATTTTTGTCAGATTCACTCTCTATGTTTCTTCAGTCTGGACTCTACCCCATGAGCCTGAACTTTATAAGTTACATCCTTGCCCTCTGCTTTTAGGTTGGTTTTGGCCAACGAGAGACACCAGTTGGCACTGCAGTGTGGAGGGAAAGAGGTTTGGGTATAGGTATACGTTGGAGATATTGTGGGTTTTGTTCCAGACAACCACAATAAAGCAAATATCGCAATAAAGTGAGTCACACAAATTTTTTGGTTTCCCAGTGTATATAAAAGTTATGTTTACACTATATTGTAGTCTATTAAGTGTGTAATAACACTATATCTAAAAAAAGGTATATACCTTAATTAAAAAATACTTTAATGCTAAAAAATGCTAACCCTCATCTAAGCCTTCAGCAAGTTATAATCTTTTTGCTGGTGGACGGTGTTGCCTCAGTGTTGATGGCCACTGACTGATCAGGGTGGTTGTTTCTGAAGCCTGGGGTAGGTGTGGCAATTTCTTAAAAGAAGACAAAAATGAAGTTTGCCACATTGATTGACTCATGAATGATTTCTCTATGGCATGGAAGGCTGTTTGATAGCATTTTACCCACAGTAGAATGTCTTTCAAAATTGAAGTCAACCCTCTCAAACCCTGTCGCTGCTTTATCAGCTAAGTTTATGTAATATTCTAAATCCTTTGCTGTCATTTCAACAATTAAGTTCGCTTTCTTACATGGGCCTGGTTAGTGGTACCAGGCCCCAAAATAATTATAATAGTATCATCAAAGATCACTGATCACAAATCACTATAATATATATAATAATGAAAAAGTTTGAAATATTGTCATAATTACCAAAATGTGACACAGAGACATGAAGTGAGCAAATGCTGGAGAAACAGTGCCAATAGACTTCTTAGACACAGGGTTACCACAAATCTTCAATTTGTAAAAACACAGTTATCTGGGCAGCACAATAAAGCAAACCACAATAAAATGAGGTCTGCCTGTACTGAATCCTACTAGCTGCTTCCTGTTGGGTTCAGGTTGACACTGACTATGCTCCTCCGTGGCTACCAGGTAGGTGGCTGTCTCCTACAGCAGTTACGTCTCCCTGGGCCCTGGCAATCCCTTTTCCCCTTACCCCTTAGGCCTAAAAGGAATAATGACTCTGATTATTTCTGGGTGCTTCACCATCACTTTTTGTTTTCTGGTAATACCATCCACATCTTTGTAAACTGCCCTTTCATTAAGCACCTTTCAATCACCTCTCTTAAGCATGCCATCTATTACGTGATGGAGATTCTTTTTTTTTTTTTTTTGGAAAAATTCTTACTGATATAATATGTATGATAGTACTAGCTTAAGTTATTTCAGAGAATTTATTTAGTTCTTCCCACTCCACTCACTGGTTTAACCAAATTGATCACCCAACATCAGTCACTTGAAAAAGGAAAAAGGGGTCTATTTGAATTTTGAATAGAGGAAGGAGTAACAATGACTATCTGTTGACCCAGGTCTCCTAAACTCAGTGTCAGAGCCCAATATTCTCATACCTAGGCACTATTTTCTAGAGATTGTCATAGATGACACTATGTGTCATGCTAGAGACACCACATGAACCATTAATGAGTTGCATTGATTCCCAACAAAGCATCAAGTCTCATGGTATACAGGCTGAGCATAAGAGACAGAGCACCCAACACAGAGTCCCTAGGTTGTAGTTGGAATAGAGATCATATTGTTTTTCCCCACCTCATCCTATTTGTCAGAAACTATGCAGTATTCGGTTTAAATAGAGGGAAGTTTTGATAGGTTCTCTGTGCAATAATTAAACCTAGGACAAACTGGGAGAAATGGGCAATGGGGAACACTCTAATTATAGCAGAACATTTAAATGAGAAATTCTCATGTTTTTCTTGGAACTTAAGACAGCTGAAATGTGTTATCTGACTTAGACTGAAAAGTCTTCTGATGAGTAGAATTAAAAAACACTTTAAAAAGATAAAAATGGTAATTCCCTGGTGGTCCAGTGGTTAGGACTCTGTGCTTCCACTGCAGGGGGGCGCCCAGTTGGATCCCTGGTGGGAGAACTAAGATCCCCACAAGCCCCTTGGTCCAAAAAAAAAAAAAAAAGACAAAAATGCCTTAAGTGTACTCTTTACAAACATGTCCAAGTTTAAGCAACTTAAACCTATCCAGATATGTCATTAAAAAAACCTTTTTTAATACGGAAAACAAGTATCACGTGACCTACTCAGTGTTTCCACACACTGGATTAACCTCATTTTTGCACTTGCCTTGCCTTGCCCACAATTCATGAACAATAGGCATCCTCCACCTCAACAAAAGAGCTGCTGGGACGAGGGCAGGAACAAGAGGGGACGGCGCGGCCCTCAAACACCCGCCTGCGACTCACTTCAGCAGAGGTCTTTTGCCAAACTCGGCCGGACGACAACCCCGCGGTCCGTAAGGCTTGCTCACCTTAGCCTCAGTTTCCTTTCTCGGTGAGGCCCAGCCTTTCGGCCCAAAGTACCAATTAAAACTACTGAAGGAAAAAAAAAAAAAAAGAAAGAAAAAAAACCGCAAAACGCCGAACAGACTCCTTGACTGGAAGAATCTCGCGAGAACTTACGGAGCTCTGGCTGTTCCCGCGGAGACCTCGCGAGCGGACCTCCGGGGGCGGGCTGCCCCGTGGCCCCGCCCTTTCTGAGCGCGGGCGCGCCTTGGCGGGAATTTCGCCTTTTTGGGATTTAGACCACACGGGCTAGCTGGCTCTGGTCGGGACCGCCAAGGTGGATCGTTGGGACTGAAAGTGTGAGCAGGTACGACGTGCACCAAACCAGGGGCGCCCCGAGGCGCAGGGAACCGGCTCCCCTCGCCCTTTGGCCGGCCCGCGCGGATCGCTGCCTTGTGCGGACCTGGCGGGGCTTGCCCCCGGCCGGGAGAAGTCGGGTTTGCGCCGGGCCCTACTGATCCTCGCCTGCAGTCTGCGAGGCAGCTTGCAGTTCCAGACACTGCGGGGAAACTGGCTCAGTGCGGTTTAGTAACGTAGCGGAGGACGCAGGTCAAGGCGGGCACTGGAAGTGCAGCTAGATCTGTCCTGCTAACAGTTTTTTCTTCTTCACCCTGCCCTGGGCTGCAGGGTCTGACGTAGAGGGGATTTTAAGTTACTGCCACAGCCGGTCGGGGGTGCATTCTAAGTTCTGACAGCCTTGATCTGGGGGAGTCCGTGGCGGGGAGAGTTGTTGAGGATTTGGCCTTTCGTTTTTTTCCTTTGTGCGGGGGGGGGTGGTGGCGGCTTTTGGGGAACTTTCTGAGCTCACCCCCAATGTCTCGGCCCTCCCCACCTACAGGAATCTCATCACAACTTCTTTGGAGCCCTTAATGATAATCATAAGGAACCCCAAACATTTCAGGACATGAAGTAAACATGGATAACTGTCCCGCTGCGTCGACGTTCCTGACCGACAGCTTGGAGCTGGAGCTGGAGACAGAATGGTGCAAACCCCCTTGCTTTTCTTGTGATTTTGACAACAGGGGAGGAGGAAAACATTTTTCTGGAGAGTCCTACCTTTCCAGCGGAGCTCTTAAGCGGTAGGTAAAAAGTCGGAAACTTTGTTTTTCCCTATTCAGATTTTTTATCAGTCTGTTTAGGAATGTTATTTAATTATGAGTTAAGTCCATTAAACTTTAATGTTCATCAGGCAATGTTCTTGTAAATCGGCTTAGTATATCACACAGATGCAAGCTATTAGCTCTGTTGGGGTCCTGGTTAGAGCACACCTGAAAGATATTTGCAAGGAGGACTTTCTTGTTACCTGATGTTCTCTGACCTCACTGCTGCCTCAGCTTTGGAGTAAGGAGCTGGGCACTAATTTACTTGAAGTGAATTCTGAACTACCTGGGCTTTTTGAAGTCCCATTTCCTTCTAAAACATGAGATAATATTCTGAAGCATCTCAATAATTAAGACATGCACATTTTTTGTTGCCCCAGTGTCTTCTCACTCTGTATATTTAAACATATAGAAATCTTATAGACTTATTTTTTTTAAACTTTCTAATAAATGCGCCAGATTGTGTAAGTTCACAGGAATGTTATCTTCAAAGCTCTTGTCTTGGACATGTGTATCCACATATTGCAGTAAAACTGCTGTTGCTGAAATATTTTGGAAATACCTGCTGAGGCAATTTCAGTCGGAAAGGAAACCATTTTTGTTGATTATTACAGTTGTACCTTCTTTGAGACCTTAAACGATATTACTCAACTTGATTATGCCCTTCTTTAGACATGGCTCAGAATACCTTTTAACTGTCTTAAAAATTAAATGTCCCCTCAAAGGGTGAAATTCTACAACTGAAGACCACAGTTGAAGACAGGTGAAAGTATGTTCCCTAGACCCCTTTCCACATTTTTCCCTCAAATTATATTGCTCTTTAAACTTTTTTTTTATCACAGTATAGGGTTGAATTCTTAATACAGTCCAGTTGTACTGTTACTGAGATATAAGGTACCAAGGCACTTCCTTACTTTATAACATCATTGTTGACATGTCATGTGTAACATGGATTCATATAATGTCAAAAAAAAACCTCATGCTATAGTATGGGATATAGCATACTTTTTATGAGATTAAATCAGAGTTTCATTTCAGACTGATTTTGAATCTTGATCCTTTACCAACTAATTTTGAAGAGGATACAGTGGAAATATTTGGCATTCAATGGGTTACTGAAACAGCATTAGTGAATTCATCTAGAGTTCTCTTTCATCTCTTGAGGTATGTTTTGTCTTTTATTTTAAAACTGCCATTGAGTGTAGATGCTTTTCAGATTTAAGTTACATTGCTGGGTGGTTTCTAATACTGATATTACAAAAGCACCTGTAGAATTGTGATTGCTGCTTACTTGATTATCTTATCAGTAACAACAATTAAGCAATAATGTTTGATGGAGTAATGGTTTTAATGAGTTCTTTTTTAGTGATTTTCAGAATTTTTATTCTTCTGTATTTGACATCATATATTGAAGACAAATATTTTAGGCTTTGAACTATTCCATAATTTTGGAAGAAAAATAAAATCTTTTGTTGCTTAATAGTCATAATTTTTCAGTAATCTTTAGAGAATGAACTCAGACTTCCAAATATATTTTTCAGACTATAATAGAATATGTAATAGAAATATGATTAACCTGGACATTAAAAATATTTTTAATAAAAATTTTCAAACATACACAGATGTAGAGAGAATAGTATAACGAACCTCCATATACCCTCCCTCAGTTACGATAAATATCAAGGGTTTATCACATTTCCTTCATCTGTCCTTATCCCTCTACTCTTGGCTTAAGTATTTCTTAAGCAAATTCCAGGCATCATGTCATCTCACCCTTAATTACGTCAGTATGTATCTCTTAAAAATATGAACTTATTTTTTAAACATAAACATTACCTCATAATCACAATTAACGAAATTGAAATAATTCTTCATTATTATTTAAAACCCAGTCCATAATTCAGATTTTAGATTTGGAATCACTTATTAAAGGCAAATTATTAGCCCAAAATACATTAAGAATGTATACATGGGGGCTTCCCTGGTGGCTTAGTGGTTGAGAGTCCGCCTGCCAATGCAGGAGACACGGGTTCATGCCCCGGTCTGGGAAGATCCCACATGCCGCGGAGCAGCTGGGCCCGTGAGCCATGGCCGCTGAGCCTGCGTGTCTGGAGCCTATGCTCCGCAACGGGAGAGGCCACAGCAGGGAGAGGCCTGCGTACCACAAAAAAAAAATAAAAAAGAATGTATACGTGGTAATTCTAAAATTTATATGGAACCACAAAAGATCCCAAATTGCCAAAACAATCCTGAGAAAGAAGAGCAAAGCTAGAGGCATCACACTTTCTGATTTCAAACTGTATTAGAATGGTATAGTAAACAAACAGTATGTTATGGGCATAAAAACAGACACATAGGTGAATGGAACAGAATTGAGGGCCCAGAAAACCCCACACATATAGGGACAATTAATTTATGGAAAAAGAGCAAAGAACATAACATTAAAGGGCAGTCTTCAATAAATGGTGTTGGGAAAATTGGACAGCCATAGGCAAAAGAATGAAACTAGACCACTGTCTTACATCATACACAAAAATTAACTCAAGATGCATTAAAAGCTTGAATATAAGACCTGAAACCATAAAATGTATAGAAGAAAATATAGGCAGTAACCTCATTGACATCAGTCTTAGCAATATTTTTGTGGCTCTAAGTCCAAAAGCAAGGGAAACAAGCAAAGATAAACAAATGTGACTACATCGAACTAAAAAGGTACTCACAGCAGAGGAAACCATCGTCAAAGTGAAAAGGCAACCTACTGAATGAGAGAAAATAATTTGCAAATCATATATTTGGTTAATATGAGGGGTTAATATCCAAAATATGTAAAGAATTCATATAGCTCAACAGCAACAACAATAACAACAAATCTAATTAAAAAATGGGCAGAGGATCTGAACATATATTTTTCCAAAGAATACTTGCAGATTACCAACAGGCATATATGAGAAGATGTTCAACATGACCATTAAGGGAATGCAAATCAAAACCACAGTGAGATGTCACCTCACACCTGTTAGAATGGCTGTTATCAAAAAGACGAGAAATAACAAACGAAGATGTGAAGAAAAGGGAATCCTCATGCCCTGTTGGTGGGAGTGTAAACTGGTGCAGTCACTATGGAAAAGTGTGGAGGTTCTTCAAAAAGTTAAGAATAGAGCTACCTATGACCCAGCTATTCCACTTCTGGGTATTTATCTGAAGGGCATAGAAACACTAATTTGAAAAAATATATTCACCCCCTGTGTTCATTGCAGCATTATTTTTAACAGTCAAGATATGAAGATACGGAAACGACCTAAGTGTCCTTCAATGGATGAATGGATGAAGGAATTTTAAATATTTATATACACACATATACACACACACACACACACACACACACACACACACACACACA